TGGTGGAAGCCAAAGTGGGGCTGTAGGCAGGCCGTTGTGGTCGGAGCTGCTGAACCAGGGCTGTCTAGCACAGACACGTCAGTGTGGGACCTACATGCTTGTAAACTGGTTGTGAGCATCCCAGGCTAGGAACTCCAGCAGCAAAGCACTGTAAGGCACCCAGAGTTGCAGGGTAAATTGTGACACTACCTCTCACTCGTCTGGATTGCCTGCTCAATACTCAGAACACCCTCCCTACCGCAACAACCAGCAGCGAGCAGGCCATGCATGGGAGGGAGCACATTCTCCTAAATTGTGGCACAGCAGCATGCTCCTGTAGGGCTGGGGAACTCCAGGAGCCACTGTGTCTCCCCGGGGATCAGTTTCTCCAGGTAATGCCAGTGGGGCAGTGAAGCTGTGCCTAATGGACACATTCTGGCCTATGTGTCACAGCTACTCTTGGTTTCAATAAAAGTAGAAAAGTAACTGATACACAAGGTTGAAACATCCTCTTTCAGGGAGATCAATGCACAGAGCCATTAGACATTTGTATCTGGTGGAAAGGGTCATGAGGAAAGCAAAGGTATCCCAGTATGGTTAATCTTTCCATTAAAGGCTGTATCTAGCTCTTCTAATGCAAATGCAGGAAGAGGCGAGGTGGAGGTGGGGCCTTGGGGGAAGGGGTAGAGTGGGGTCAAGGCCTGGAGTAGAGCTGGAAGTTGAGTGCACACACACACTCCCCCAGTACATTGTAAAGTCGGTGCCTGGGTAAATGTGGCTCGTATATCATCTTTGGCTCCCCCAATTTTCAGAACAGTCAGGGGGCAACTTGACTCCTCGTGCAACCTCAGTGCTCTCATTTACACTTCCTTGTAACAGCCAGTAAGACTAGACAGGTAAGGGTGAATGTAGCGGGGTGGTCACCCGCTCCTGCCCTGAAGGGGTTAAAACAGCCCTGGGAGACGGCTTCCCTGGGGGAGCCAATAGTAAAAGCAGCCCTGGAAAGGGCTGTGGCTGGAAATAAGGGGAGTGAGAACAGCTGGGGGAAGCTGTGGCTAGCTCAATCAGGGCCCAGTTGTGGGCTGGGGGCCAGAAGCAAAGGAGTCTCCTCTAGTCCTGGAGTGGGAAGGACTGGCTGCCTGGGAGCAAGGTACCTGAGTCGGAGCAGTGCTGGGGAAGGGCAAAGGGAGCTGGGGAGCTCCAGCCTGGTAAACCCCCCAGGCTGCAGGCCTTGGTAAAGGCCCAGAAAGGTTCTGGGACTGCAGAGGCGCAGCCTGAGGATAGGCAAAAGCAGCAGGTCTTACCCCCTTGCCAGTGATGAGTGGCCATTACACTGCAGTCTGCCCCAGTGAGCGGGGGCTAGATAATGACTGGCAGTAGCCACTGAGGCAAGGTGGGTTTAGAGGGTTGGGGGTTCCCCTGGGAGGGGAGACCCAGGGCAAGGGAATACTGCTGGGACAGAACCCGGAGGAAAAGGGCACCAGGAGGGACACGGGGCCAGTGGCAGGCGAGACACCGGCTTGCAGAGGGCGCTCCGATGGCTGGAAAGAGCGAATTCCTGAGATGACCAGCAGGAGGTGCCGCACCGGTGAGTCCTCGCCTCACGACAGCTGTGGGTGATGTAAAGTGACGATGCAAAGGGGCCACACCAGGGCTCAGGATTTGACCCATTCTGTTTAAAAATAAGCAACTTTTTCTCTCTTTTTATTTTTTGAGTGCTTTTTTTGGAGATTAATTTTCGTAAGGGAAACCTTACCCTATGACCTCTAGGATGGAGCACTTATGCTGGGCAAAACACTCTGGGATTTACTCAGCTGCAGTCACTGATTTTTGTTTCTAGTTGTGGGATGTCATCTTCAAACTGCTGTACTGTAAACTGTCTCTTTACTTAGCCAGCATTATACAAGCATCACCGCAGCTAAAGACTGAGTTAGCTTCGCCACTATAAACATCTCCATTTGGGTTTATTATCTCAGCAACGTCCACTATGTCAGTGTGGGCAGCCACAAACTATGACACACATTGCTGAGGACTGCAAAATGACTCAGCGTCCTGGAACACGGTTGATAAGAACGCTGTGGCTTGGCTGATTGCATAAGCCAATTAATAACAATCTCAGCATTTCAAAATCATGCTGGGGTGAACTTTAGCATAAATGATGTCAGCCCAACTGCAAACTTTCTTCCCAGAATTTTTTTTGAAAGGTAAAACTGTTTTTCTGAACACAGACCAACATAATTTGAAGATGACTTGCATCAGATTTCGAACATCAAACTTGAGGTACAATGTAGTTTAATTAAAAACAACCACCTGCCACTCCAGATTTCACCAGTATAGGCCTATTTGATGTTCTTTAAAAATCCTTTATGGGTACTCTCAAGTATTTTTCAATTATGCTAGTTTCACATATAAATAAATGGGGTATAGCATGATGCAATTACTGTTCTCAAGATAGTGTTAAATGAACACCAGCATCTGGAGATCTAAAACTTTTTTTAAAGATGTAAGTAGTTTCAGGTACTACTTCTGCTCCTAAGTCTCTCTGCCAGGTTTTCTTACTTTCAACTGCATTTTTCTGTTTTTGTAAATGCTTTTCTCTCCTCCGTTGCTCCATCAAAAACCTCAACACACACAAAAAACAAAAACAAAAGCCTGGGAAAATCAACTGACTATCCAGGGGAAACGTGAAGCCTGACTATGAAAAAGGTAAACATACTGTTAAAACAGAAGAACATATGTTTTTCTAATGTCTTTCAGTTTTAGTAATTTTAGTTGTGATTTGTAACTATAGCAGGTACAACATTTTCAGACAGAAGTCTGATTTTTAAGTTGAGTTCCTTTAGTGCTAGTGTTTGGACACCATGTTACAAGGTCAAAAATTATGGTAGAAAAATTTTTGTGCAAGTCAGTGTCAAAGCAATATAAATGCTCAACTGTGGAGAAGATGTTTTGATGTCAAATGAAGACAAAACATTGGCCAAGATAATAACAAAACAGTGTTAATGCAAGTCCACAAGACAATAATTAATAAAATAAAGATGACAACATAAAATTAATGCAAATCTAATTTAATTAGAGTCTCTCAGTAAAATCACCAATTCACAGAAACAATCCTTACCGTGCACATAACACTGACTTGGGTTGGAGAACCCTCTGAAGAGAGATCAACTGTGCTGCTCTGTCTAAACACAATGGGGTCAAACCCTGCCCTGACTTGCACACTGTACAACTCCACTGTGGTCTGAACTCGCTGTCCTGTCCTACATCTCCATGAAATTTGACTGCATTGACTTGACCGTGGCCAAGTTCATGGTCAGGGCACAGCAGATCTATCCTCCACCGAAATAAAATATACACAGAGGCTTTAAGACTTTGACCCTTTTGTGCTTAAATGACATTACTCATAATTATTGGTTGTGTTGGTTGGTAGTTCTTCATACTAAGTTACACAACTACTTGTGAGTTACATCCCAGTGTGACTGGGTTTCAAATTTTAATCAACAATAGATATGTCTGTGGATGACTAGGACACGAATACCACACATAATAAAATTCAATATACCTCTAGGTAGACACTATTAATACAGAACACGGACTGATATGCAGATGTACTGTGATGAAGTGAGCTGTAGCTCACGAAAGCTCATGCTCAAATAAATTGGTTAGTCTCTAAGGTGCCACAAGTACTCCTTTTCTTTTTGTGATCACTAAATTAACCTTGTCACTTGCTGCTGATGGTAATAAATACAAATAATGCAGTTATTTAGTATATGTCAACATAGTCTCTATTGGTTCTATTGTTTTCACTCATTATTAGGTCTTCAGAAAAATGGCTGTAAACTTTATCCCAAATTGCAGTTATTTTACTGACTATATAAGCTCATTTTCAATAACTTAGAAAACACAGAAGAAATGGTGCATCTGCAGAATTTTAATATGCTACATTATTTTAAAAGGAAGTACATGCATAAATTCTCAAGATGGCCATAGTTCTTTAGGTTTTTAAAATATGATTTTACTTTTAATATGGATAATAGCCTGGATAATATTTTCTTATACTTAAAATTAGAGATCAGTTCCGGAGTAAGTGTTCAGATCCAGATTAGGTTTACGCTGGGGCTTGGGTATAACTCTGTGAGGTCCATCTCATGGAGTTTCCAAGTAACCATCCACTCAAGTGGGTGTTTTGTGGGATGCACAAGAGGCAATTGGTTGTGACCTACCAGCCCCCATGAATCCTGGAGATCCAGAAGGAAGGCTCATTCACACTTGTGCAAGGGACACAATGGGAGATGCTAATGTTTCAAGTACCATTAAAACCTGATATCCACAGGATAAGCCAGGAGTAAGGCCTGCTCTCTAACTCGACCCCAAAGTACATTGACCCAAGGGCCTTCTGTGAGTATTAGAAAAAAAGGGAATGGGGAATTTCATGGACTTGTACAGGGACAATGTTTGTGGAACCACAACTTTCCTGTTCATTCCGTGATCCTAGGATCTAGGTTCTCTCCAACTGCACTAGCAGAAGGGTTGATCTACTTCCAAATCTAATCGTATTAAATCTTTATTAATGAACTAACGGGTTAAATTTCTGATGATCATTAACTCTAGGCTTTAACATACAGCAGACAATATGCTTGAAAGATAACAAAAGAAGTTTCTTGAAAATGTTCCTTAAATAGCCCTCATTTCTGATACTGTTGATAATTATGAGGAGATTATTTTGGCCTCGTAAATTTAATAAATAGCACTATCCTTGTTGGTACATGACATTTAATGTAATCTAGTACTTCCCAAAATACTGATAACATGTTCCTGTGTAGTCATATGTATTAAGTGATATGATACATCATCTCACGTGCTTCAATATCTTCTTTTTCCCAGGATGTTTTTGATTGATATAATTTCAATGCAAAATATTTTGGAATTTAAAGCATAGACTCATCACTAAACCTCCAGCTCCCAGTATTTAAACAGCTGCACTTCTACTGCAATAGGAAGTTAGGGGTTAACCTGTGGAATTTGAAAATACTTTGCTCTAATTGTTGATCGCATTCACATTTTCTCCCACTGTGCTGGGACCTTCAAAGTGGTCCATTTGGAAACTTTTCTTAGACCAGGCTGGCAGATCTGTAGGAGGCTAAAAATCTTTACAAATTGCAATGCACAAAATATCTGTTTTGGTCCTCCTGAGTATTGCACATTCTCTAAACACTGTAACCAAAGGCAACTATGCATCAAGCAAGAAAGAAATGCAAGGTGCCCACTTTCATTATTCCAGCGAGGAAATCCATGTGCTCTCTCAAGGTGTCCTGAAGCTTGGAGCTGGGTTAAAGGAGCAGGTTGACCATACTAAAGAGAAAATTACCTACATCTTTCAACAGCTCAACATTTTTAACAACTCCTTGATAGAATTACTAGAGCAGGTCAGCCTAAATAAGAGGCTGAGAAATGGTCTTATGGAGAAAACTCAGCAACTTGAAACTAGGAACCAAGTTCTGGGCAGGCTCTCTGCAGAGCTCCAGAACCAACTTGCTGAAGTGATGCATTACAGAATGACTTTCAACACCAGGCTGGAATTTTTAGAGGAGAAGATAGAGAATGCCCTAAATTACAAGACTAACACCAGTACTTCAGTGAGTATGACTGACATTATGGTAAGTACCGGAGTTTTTAACACCTGATCTTCTTAATCTATCTTTTAGCATGATTATTTATTCACTTATAGTGATTCTCAGTAAAAGTGGACACTAGACATAGGACTTTTTTTTTAATCCATAAATCTATTACCATATGAGCTGAAAACAGGCTTGTCTGTTTTGCTCTGCATTTTTTTCTTTATTTAAGACTTATGTGGTTACATGTAAGCTCTTCCGGGTCTGAGCTGTCTTTATTTTTGTTCACTGTATAGCTTGATAATTACTAATTATTATTCAAAAACTGTAGTGGTGAATTCATTTACCACATACAATTAAAAGTGGGACAAAACCTGCAGTCCTTATTCAGGCAAAACTCTTATTGGTTTAATTGAGAATTTTACCTGCATGGGGACTACAAGATTTGCCTCTAAAAATAATGTTCTACTCTAGTTCTGATCATTCCTCCAGCTAAAAAAAAGATGCCCCAGTATTTTGCAACCAAACCTTGGAACACATTCAAAGATTTTTGCAGCTTCAAAGTCATCTTTTCTTTTCTCCCCTCCTCCCCCTTCTTCCTAGTCTTTTGTGCACACTCAAAGCGTAAGAATTGATGAGTTGCTTACCGAAGTGGAGCTGCAGCAAGACCGAATTAGTGTACAAGATGCACTCATTCAAAAGTTGCTGAAAAAGGTAGGCTTTTCATATCGTTTTTTCCCCATTCGCCTTTTCACTGCGGGCCTGTGTTTTGAGTTTGGAAGACTACAGTGATCCACTGAACTGGTAACATTATTATTATTTATTTGTATTGTGGTAGCACCTAGGAAGCCATCATACTAGGTGCTGTACAAACACTATAAAATGAGGGTCCCGGCCTCAAGGGCTTTTCCTGTTACAGGGGGAAACAGTGGGGATATGTTTTTTCCTAAAAGGTAGATGAAAGACCAGAGATCCGCCAAAATTCTTGGCACCAGGAGTTGGAAATTCAAACAATGACAGTACTAATACCTGGCACTAATCTTCTAAGTACTGTATAAATATCATCAACCTGTGTCACATTCCTGCATGGCAGGAATTTTACCAATGGGATACAGCCACTCACCCACAGCTATGCAGGGAGTCAGTAGCAAAGCTGGTTTTAGAATTCAAGGGTAAAGGGCTGCAGTCTAATGTCACAACATTCTGCCTGCCCAAAGAATGGAGATGCGTACTTGTTGATTAATGGAATCATTTGATTCCTATGCATCTCTGGAAGACTGATGCTCACTTTAGTTCCTATAGAAAGAAAAACTTGTGATTTCCCTGTATACTTTATAAATGACTTGCATTAAGTTTCTGTAATTCTCTCTTTCATTTTTAACCACATTGCACTGTTGTTACTTTTTGCTACACAGGTTAGGCCAAAAATTAAACTAGCCAGACAGCCAAAGACCAACGGAATGAGGAAGAAAATAGCAGATTCTTCTGAGAGGCAGAACACAACATTATCAGCACATGAGAGTATATGAAAGACAATCACAGGATTAAAATATTTTACCAGTGATCTATGCAGTGTAAGTGCAGATATGCTACTAGGATTTCTATCTTGATTAGATGGCTAACATGCAAGAAAGCTAGAGGCTGTCTTGGTCAATAGTTTTTATCTTTTAACAAACTGTATGGCCAAGGTGCTGAAAAGTTTTTCAAAAATATTGTTATTGTAGCGTGAATATGACAGCTACCAACTAGCTTGCTCCTAACAGAAATTTTGTAGATCCGTAAACACTAGTTACAAAGCAAATATTTTAAGATAAAATATTTAATTAATATTTTAATATTAAAAAGAATGAGCGAAAACATTTTTAGAGCAGTGCATCTGAGTTTAAAAAAAGTGTTTTTAGACATTTCTTAGAACTATACTTTATCATGAAGTTTATGGAAATCCATGTTTTATTCAGTTTCTCAGCTGACTGATTGGACTGCACAGGGATCGTCATGCCATATGGTATATAGTTCACCAGTTGTATATTACATAACTAATGCAATTTGTTCTGGCATGTTGGGTGTAATGCATCAGTTGAAAGCACTGTGATACACAAGCTATATGCAGGCGGGATGCTTGTGCCACTAGATTGCTGATTGCTAGACTTTCATTTTTTCATGGTTTGTGTTATGTTAAGTAACATATAATAGAATTCATTATTTTTTTATTTTAGCACCAAAAAAAAAAAAAATGCACAGCAACTTCCGGAAACCTTACAAGCAGGCATGTGTGTGCGCACGCACACATAGTCACACCCCCACTGAACACAAGTGGGGACTGGCTGGACCTACTCCTGGATAGTAAAAACAAGAAGTGGGATATTGTGTCATATCCCCTCTGCCAAAAGCAGTGGCTTAAGCACTGTTCTTTCCTGAGATCTATAAAGAAGCAGAGAGGTAGTAAGACAGACAAACATAAATGGGGCCTCTGATGGCAGGATCTCTGAGTGCAATACATCAGCAGGGACCACATTCTTAAACAAAGAGAAATGAAGTTGGGCAATTTAAACCCCTTGGAAAGAAAAACAAACCAATGCAGTGCTAGAATCCACAGAACTGGTGCACAAATAAAGGAACGGGGAGGGGGCAATCTCTACCCCAGAGAGCAACTGTGAAACTGTTAGCATGGTGAGATGCCCTGCCCCAGAAGTATGACACAAGTAGGGCAGCTGTGCTCATAAGGCCCCCCACCAACCCAAGTATGCTAACACTGCATGTAGTGTCTGAGAGAAATCCCTCTAATACAGGAACTTGGAGTGTGGGCCAGAGCACAGAAAAGTTCACCCAGAGCCAAGTATCAGCAAAAGCGATTGCATCACCAACCTAAAATGTGAGCAAAGCAATGGAAGCTGTGAAGGTACAACACTCCCTGCTCCTCCCCTTAGATCTCAAGTGTAGCATGAGCACAAGGGAGTAGTGAAAAATCTTACCTCTCCACAGTTAAAATAAATAAGTGGTTAGCATGTGAGCAAAACATGACAGCAATGGGGACCATTATGAATGAATTACCTTTTCTTCCAGACTAGACAGAACCATTACTCCTAAAAGCAGAAGCCAAGCAGAGGCTGGGTCTAGAAACTCTCTCCCAAGCACAGGGGATCACAGAACACCCGAGAACACTAATTAGCAGCTTCAATAAAAATACCAAAACCGAGAGTTTCTTTCAAAACCCTTAAAAACAAAAGCCTAACACTTCCTGTATCAAAAGCAGGACTGTGTCTGTTTTAGCTTAGTGACTGTTGAAGCAAATCACTACGCTCTAGATCCAAAATTTTACTCTGGAAGGGTGCAGGATCACTTTCATTTACATTTCATGGAGTGAAAAATTTATACATTTAAACAACATGATTTAGGCCTTTTTTTTTTTTTTTTGCTGTTTAGAACAGAAAAAAGTTACTGAAATAAATAAATCTTCAGTTGTCTTGTCATTCAGTGTGAAACTACATTTATTAAGGAAACACAGGTATACAACGAAAGGGAGTGCTCTGTTTCACAGTGCTGTGATCTCACTAGTGTAAACCGGGAATAATAAAGGAATGGCATTCCGCCAGTATAAAAACTAGCATAAGCAAAATCAAAGTCAGGTCCACAGTCTATAACAAAGATTCTGCCTCTGCTGTTAAACTAGAAAAATCCACTTTTCAGAAAAGCAAGATATTTCTTGTCATCTATGAAAGCTTTTGTGCTGGTAGAAAAGGACCTTCAGCATGTGTGATGGGATTTGGATTTATAGAGCCCACACTAGATGAGGAAGGCACTGGAAGGATCCTGTGTGCAGGGCTAGCCCTGCCCCTCTGGCCTTGTCAATCACCTATGGTAGGGAGGAGGCCTTTAAAAAGGAGGAAACTACAGTCAGCTGGGGAAAGAGGTCATCTTGAGCAGGAGAATCATAGAATCATAGAATATCAGGGTTGGAAGGGACCTCAGGAAGTCATCTAGTCCAACCCCCTGCTCAAAGCAGGACCAATCCCCAACTAATTCATCCCAGCCAGGCCTTTGTCAAGCCTGACCTTAAAAACCTATAAGGAAGGATATTCCACCACCTCCCTAGGAAACACATTTCAGTGCTTCACCACCCTCCTAGTGAAAAAGTTTTTCCTAATATCCAACCTAAACCTCCCACTGCAACTTGAGACTATTACTCTTTGTACTGTCATCTGCTACCACTGAGAACAGTCTTGATCCATCCCCTTTGAAACCCCCTTTCAGGTAGTTGAAAGCAGCTATCAAATCCCCCCTCATTCTTCTCTTCTGCAGACTAAACAATCCCAGTTCCCTCAGCCTCTCTTCATAAGTCATGTGTTCCAGTCCCCTAGTCATTTTTGTTGCCCTCCGCTGGACGCTTTCTAGTTTTTCCACATCTTTCTTGTAATGTGGGGCCCAAAACTGGACACAGTACTCCAGATGAGGCCTCACCAGTGTCGAATAGAGGGGAACGATCACGTCCCTTGATCTGCTGGCAATGCCCCTACTTATACAACCCAAAATGCCATTGGCCTTCTTGGCAACAAGGGCACACTGTTGACTCGTATCCAGCTTCTCGTCCACTGTACCCCCTTGGTCCTTTTCCGCAGGACGGCTGCCTAGCCATTCGGCCCCTAGTCTGTAGCAGTGCAGGAGATTCTTCCATCCTAAGTGCAGGACTCTGCACTTGTCCTTGTTGAGCCTCATCAGATTTCTTTTGGCCCAATCCTCTAATTTGTCTAGGTCCCTCTGTATCCTATCCCTACCCTCCAGTGTATCTATCACTCCTCCCAGTTTAGTGTCATCTGCAAACTGGAGACTTCAGGAGCAACTCCTGGAGCCATGGGGGAACTCTCATCAAGGAGGAAATCTCCACCCCGACCCTACGGGAAGTGTGGTGAACTCCCAGGGAAAGCCTGACAGAGTGAGCCCGATTCAGCAGCCAGGCCAGAGGGATTCCTTGAAAACCACTACACAGATGCTGTACTGTTAGCACTAATGTTGGCCCTTTTCCCCTTTGAGGGGCTCTGGGAAGAAGTTATTCTCAGGTGCACGGGGGCATTTAACTTTCCTTTAGATCCCCCATCAGAAGGGCTTTAAGAAGGCCCACAAAGGGCAGGCCCACTTGAGGCCTGTGCAGGAGGCACCTAGTGTCACTGACTGGGCATGGCCAGGCTTCCTCCATTTTGGAGAAAAAGCTACGGGGGACTCTTTTACAAGTATGTCATAAAAATAAACCTAAATTTGGGAATCTACTACTTGACCTAGAACTTTGCAAAAAGTCCATTGACCCATCAGAGACAGGGTATTTCATTGATGGTTCCATCCTGCACACATACAGGCAGACTTCAAATTTACCAGCTTATCACTGTAAAAAACTTCCATTCGCTTGTGTACTTTATCCAAATAAATATTCTCTTTGTATCACTATTTCCACCTCTGTCCAGGGTAACGTGCTAATAAAGGATACAAATAATTATCCCCTAAAATTATATTCTGTTATAAGTCCATAGCACTAGGGTATAAAGCTGGCATCGTGTTTTTTGGTTGGTTGGTTTTGTTGGCTAGTATCTGTGAGTTTAAAGATTTGATGTTACTCGTGCTAATTTGTATTTGCCCTTCTAATTGTATAACCACTTGAGTTATAGAAATATTTGAATGAAATGCTGCAAATTGAAAAAAAGAAATTCATTTCCATCCTCTTTCACTCATGCTTAAGACACTGCAACTTTCCTCATTAAAATGCTTCTGGGTCTACAGTGAAGAAACTGCACCCTCAAGTGGCTGAACAGCACAGATACACAGTAATTATACTGGAATAACGACACTCCTAAAGCATTTTTACTGCTAAAATAGCTCCACCAAAACCACTTACTGAGGGTTAATTTTCCTACTCCCGTGAAATTTTAAATCTTTACAATGAGATCAGTCACACGTCTCTTCATCCTTCAGCATTCCTTACAAATTAAGGGCCAAAATTCTCCTCTCGGTTATACCAGTGCAGCCCCACTGAAGTCCTTGGGGTTGTTCTTGGAACAATGAGAGGAGGCTTTCCCCCCATGTAATTAATCTGCAATCATGCAGCCTGATCCTGGGGAGTGCTGAGTGCCCTCACTTCCCACTGGAGTTGAGAGTACTCAGTACTTGCAGAAGTAACCCTAAGAAATCTATGCCAAGGCCTTATAAACTGACATGGGTTTCAAAAAGGGTCATTTTGTGTGAATGAGTTTCTTACATTGCAGATTTCCAAGCTTGAGTTCTCTCTTATTCATCTGTCTTTGAGCACAAGTATGTGTGGAATGGGTCCTCAACAATTTGAGTCAGGGCCCTACCAAATTCACTGCCATGAAAAATGCATCACCAACTGTGAAATCTGGTCTCCCCCCATGAAATCTGGTCTTTTGTGCACTTTTACCCTAGCCTATACAGACCAGCATTTCTCAGACAGGGGGTCGTGACCCAAAAGGAAATTGCGGGGGGGTTGCAAGGTTATTGTGTGTTGGGGGGTCATGGTATTGCCACCTTTACTTCTGCGCTGCCTTCAGAGCTGGCCAGCTGGAGAGCAGCGGCTGTTGGCCAGGTGGCCAGCTCTGAAGGCAGCACCCAGCCAACAGCACCGCAGAAGTAAGGGTGGCGATACCATACCATGCCACCCTTACTTCTGCGCTGCTGCCTTCAGAGCCAAAGGCCCAGCTCCGAAGGAAGCAGTGCAGAAGTAAGGCTGGCAATACCTTACCATGCCATCCTCACTTCTGCGCTGCTATTGGTGGCGGTGTTCAGAGCCAGGCTCCCGGCCAGCAGCCGCCGCTCTCCAGCCACCCAGCTCTGAAGGCAGCGCCGCCGCCAGCAAGAGCAACACAGAAGTAAGGGTGGTAATACCGAGACCCCCCTACAATAACCTTGTGACCCACCCCCTCAAAACTCCCTTTTGGGTCAGGCCACCTAAAGTAACAACAGATTGAAATATATGACATCATGACATTTATTATTTTTAAACCCTATGACTATGAAATTGACCAAAACAGACTCTGAATTTGGTAGGGCCCTAATTATAGGGTAACAATAAGAAGGGTAGTCTTCTAGTTAAGACATTGGACTGGATTCATGAGATCTGGCTCAGTTTCTGACTCTGATGCAGACTTCCTGTATGACTCTGGGTAAATCACTTAATCTCCCTGTGATTTATGGCTCATTGACACTGGGAACCTGCACTGGCATAGCTACATTGTTCAGGGGTGTGAAAAATACACAAACCCTGAGTGATTTAGTTAAGCTGACCTAATCCCCAGCAAAGATAGCACTATGTAGATGGAAGAATTCTTCCGTCAACCTAGCTACCGCCTTTCAGGGAAGTGGATTAACTACCCCGATGGGAGAACCCCTAGTAGTATCACTGCAGCATTGCAAGTGTAGACAAGTCCTCAGTTTTCCATCTATAAAATGATGGAAATCTCTTCTATCCTTTGTCTGTCTTCACTATCTAGATTGCAATGTCTTTGTGGCAGGGATTGTCTCTCAGTATGTGTAAGAACAATGCCCAGTACAATGATGCTCACCCCAATCTGAGTGGGGGCCTCTGGGTGCTACTGTAATACAAATAAACAAAACAACAATACTAAATAACAATGAACTATTACTCTTATGTTTTCACCCATCCCCTCTCTCATACGATTCAATTCAGCTAAAGACAAGGATCAGTACAAATGTAGATATTAAATATCAGTTAATTAACTAGGTTACTTAACGTACTTTGGCAAGAGACAAACGCCAATCTCAGACTGTGACCTTGTCTACATAGATTTCTTAGGGTTAAGTTCTACCTGGCCTTTGTTCACCCTCTCCCGCCTTCAGAGAACATGGGCCTCTGCCACTCTCCTTCAAAAAGTTATTAAACTTCCTATTTCTTTATTCAGCTTCTTTTCTCCCTGTGACTCAGGAACCGCTGGTTGCCAACTGGCAGAGGCCAGAGGGGATGCATAGGTCTTTGCAGGGATTCCCTGGGTCAGATATATGCATATTAAGTTCACCAAAGGGTGTCATGTAAGGTCTTTATCAAGAGCCAGTAGCCCACTGGTTGTCATAACCATTCTGAAATGTACATACAGATAGTATTGCAGGAGTTAAGCATCTATACTGGAAATTATGTTCTCAAAACCCTGGAGTTAAGGTAGTTATTCAGAGGCAACAGGTTCCTTTTGAGCATGAGATAGCAAATGCTTCTCTCCCCATCTGTCTCACAATGGAAGCTTAGTTGCATACAGAACCAGATGCTGATTAAAAGATTGTAAAGTGAACAAGAGAGGGAGGCCTGAGGAGAAAAAAAAAAACAATCAGCAGAGGGTGTCCTGGTTATAAAAAAGAACAAAGGACTGTCCTGATAGTACCAAGGGTACCAAGAAACACCCTGCATCTTTCACCGAGGAGGCAAGCGGACAGTGGAACTTGCCACATGAAAGGGTGATCACAGCTAAGTCCGGCTGCAAGATGCTGGGAGGACTTTGGGTGAGCATTGCTCTATAAAACAGAGAAATACCTACTTAATTAAGTCTAGGCTCTAGAATGCACGTAAGCTTTTTATTTTACATGTAATCCTTTGTTTTCAGTACTTCTACTTGCTCTTACTCGAATCCCTGTACTTTTTTAAATAAACTGCTATTTGTTTTCACTATACTCTTATTTAAATTCTGTGTGTTAAGCGGAGCAGTGATCAGAGCTGCAACTGGTAAGCCAGGGTGCATTGGTACTTTGGGAACAGCTCATCTGGGAATATAGAAGAACAGGGGCTGGGCACGCCAAGGAGATGCTGGGGGTTGGAGTGTGCCTATAGCTAACCTGTAGATAGAGTGTGGGGCCTGTGGAAGCTTGGAAGGAAGGGCTTGTGTTGCCTGTGACCAATGGAGTCAGAGAGCTGACCCACAGCAGGCAGAGACAAGGCTTCCTCATGCTAAGGAGAGGTGGTAGTGAGGTGTCTCACAACCCTGGTGTGACAGAGTGCAGGCAATGGAAAGGTGAACCTGCACTCGGATCACTTAGAGGCCAACTAGTTCCCCAGAGACAGCTGACTGAGGTAATTAGAGAAGCAGGCTGGTGGGCTGGGTGAGATACAGAGCCAATTAGCCCATCAGCCCCAGTCTGATAAAGAGGCACAGGAAGGAAATGCAGAGGGGAGTGAGAGTGGGGAACAGGGCTAGCTGAGCCCAGAGACCTCAGGGAAGGGAGACCTCTGTTCCCCTCAGGTCCTGAGGAGAGGGCCAAAAGCGCGAAAGATATTTCAAACAGACTGGTGCACGGGGACTGTACTGGTGGAGAGCACTCAAAAATAAATGATGCTATGACTGCACAATGAGTAGATTCTGGGCACAATCTGTGGGGCAAGAAGGCTGGAGTGAAGATGCACCTTGTGATACCTGGGTACCCCCAGGAAGCATCACACTCCCTGACTCATTTGTGATAGTCACATCTCCCCTGCTAATCAAACTGGCCCTGCTGTCCAAGTCCCAGTCCCGTACAGTATGCTCTGCTGTTGATTTTTTAAAAAAAATCTGCAATACATTCTCTCTTCCTTTCATCAAATTTCAAAAACAAATACAAATATTAGAACTAAAACTGTACATAATCCCAGAACATTCCTTGAGCCACAAATCTCCAGCCTGTGTATTATTAGCATTACCATATGGTACATCAGTGTGTTGAAGAATATTCCCTTGATATTCATAGCTCATTTGGGATTAATGTGTTGCCAGGCTAGTAAGAAATGATGGAACCTGTTTTGATTTGTACTCTTTAGAACGTCTACCTTTTTAAATCAGTCAGAAAAGACTAATACATTTTGCGAAGTGATATAAGAAGGGATCTTATTCATGGAGTAGACAGAGCAATAAACTGCATCTTTGGGTAGTTAGATGACACATGGCAACTACAAAAGCTGTTCAGTACAAATATGCTCCAATGCTGTGAATGTTACTTCTATTATATGACAAGATAAAGGATACAACAAAATCACAAATGAAAATATAATTAGTCTTGCATCATGAGTGTTTTAAAATTCTAGGCCTCTGTTCTCCAGGGATGTCTGTGGGATTTTATAGTTAGAAAAAGAGACTGGGAGTCAGAACTCCAAAGCTAAGATTTTTAAACATGGGTGCCTAAAGTTAGGTTCCTAAATTCATATATAAGCAGCTATGTAAAGTTGTCTGAGTACCTACTGAAGTCAATGAGAGCTGCTGGTTCCTCAACCCTTTTGAAACACTTTGCTCAGGACATTTACAATTGGACTGGAGAACATACTGCAGAACATATAGTAGGGATCCGATCTTGTATTGGGTAATGAGATTAAAGAATGGTTGTACCTTTACAGGCTTCGATAACCTAACATGCTTTTCAATTTCTAGTTTCTATGAATCGGAGAAAAATTATACCATAATCATTTTTGGAATATGGGTTTAACAGTTTTCAAAAAAATCCATTTTTCTTACCTATAAACAGTGTGGGGAACATATACTTCTCGAACTGGAAACTCCAAAATCTCTTTCTGAGGACGGCTGCGGTTTTCAGGAAATGGTTTCACTTGTAATAACTCAGGGGTGAGACAGCAACTGAGGACTTCTGAAGCTGGGGAGATCTCCAATTTAAGTAATCCTTAAAAAAATTACATGAAAGCTCAGCCTATCATTAAAAATAATAAGAAGAATAAAACTAAACCAAATATGCATAAGGTCAAAAGAAGTAACTAGGAAATAGGAATTTGGGTTTTTAGTTTGAGGGCTGCAGAAGAAAGAAATTTTGGTTGGAGAAAGTATTTTATCTGGATACACAGGGAAGTAACCCACATAGATCCCTACACATCAAGATAAAATCTCTCTTCAGGTTTCATCAGCATCATCACAGTAAATCCAAAAGGGACATGGCCTCTTTGCAGGTTGAGCACTTCCCAGATTGATCTCTGGGCAGGTCCTAAAGGTGATCTCACTGGATATTCAATTTATGACCATCACTGGCGATCTTATCATGCCATTGAAGCTTTTGGCACCCACATTATCCCCATCCACGTAGTGGCATTCCTTGGCACACACACTTTGGAATTTGTTGGTCTTCCAGTCTAATAATATGTCCTTATCAAGAAAGCCACCCATACTGAACAAGTTCTGATGGAGGTGATTTCTGGATTCAGCTTCAATTATCCTCATTTCTGATCTTGTCCTGACACTTAATATATGGAGCAGCTGATAAAGACAACAAGACTCTTTGCACATTCACATGTAGACAGGAAGGAAGGGATACCATACGCTGAGTTGACTTTCTAGTCTCACCCATGCAAAAAGGATAACATTTGTTAAGGATTTAAATTGGAAATAAAGTAGTGATGCTCTCTAGTTTTGTGCACAAAGCAAGCACTGCCTTATTTAAGATAGTAAAATGAGGTGCAGATCTTCAGAATATGATTTTCCATATTTTTTCTTGCTTGCTGTGACCATCAGTGAAATTGTTAATCATGGTAACATTTAAATTGTCATAATTAAACTTAATATTTAATACTCTATTGAGGTGAATGGGGGCAGTTCACACCTCCCAGAGCTGCTCTTTCAGGCTGTATACAGACCCAGGCAGTCATTCCTGCACTGGTTACATTCTGTTCACTTTTTAGAGGTTTTCTTAGCAACCACAAGGGCTAGAGACATAATGTATCGTAAATGAAAGCTTAGAATCTGGAGCTCAAGGAAGCCATCACAAAAAAGCACCAGCTAGTCAAGCTTTTGTGAGAAGCCAAATTCAGTCTCTCCCTCTGCTTAATTAACACTGAGTCAATTAAAAGGAAAAGAGAGTAAACATTTTAATCACCCAACCCAATCTCTGATCCCCATTCTAACAAGGTATTAGGGAATCAGTAAGGATCTTGAGATTCTGCTTTAATCCCATTCTCCTCAAAAACTTCAGGTAAAACCAAAAAACGGAATGAACGCTTTGTAAATTATTGATGAAAATGAACTAATTTAGAATATAAAACTAACTATAAATCTCTGTTTGCCAGGGATGAACAAATTAGCAGGTCAAAAATGGCTGGCTTGATGAAGTCATTAATAAAATAAAGACATTCCCTCATAACACAATTTATAGCCCTAAAAACCACGGGGATAATTACACAGGAGGGCTGAGATTTTCATTGGCATTTACTGGAGTTAAGTGCCTATTTCGCATCCCATCCTAAACACACTCCATACCTGGGATGGACTTCACTCTTCTCTGCAAGGAAGAAGATCTCTTGTAGTCAGTTAAAAATTTGAATAGGTCTTCGTCACTAAGTCGGTCTCCTTCCTGTCAGCAGAAAGACAAATTAATTCTGCTATAAGGGTGCATAGTATTGTTACCTACTTTCATGAATTAGATATGTCTGCAAAACAAAGAGTGAGTAGGTAACTCTGTGTTTTGTATGAATTAACCTTTTGTTCCCCAGTTACAACACTGAGCAGAATTTTTTCAATTCAGTTTACTTTAGTTCATGTTTACCAGCACAATATAAAACTCCACACACTCTAAAATAAAGAGCATACTGTACCTGTTTTATAAAGGTGTTGACAGTCAGAGTGGTCGCTTTGAAGTTTGACACAGCATAACTGTCCTCTGAATTGAGGCTCCTCTCAGAAAGTCTTCTACCTTGGAGCATCATCGTTCTTCTGTCACCAGTAGTTCCTTTCCCTTCAAGCGTAAATTACATTTAAAAAAATTCATCTTCTTTTGTGTCAGTATAAAGTCTACCATAAAGCATGACAAATATACCTGAATTTAGTCCTAAAATGCCACAAGCACCGTGTGATCTCAGGGGAACAACAAAAGACCTTAACTTTGCATTTTCCATCAACTCAGTGTAAAGCTATGTAAAAAAATGTAGTAAGTGCAGTATTTATTCTGTTGAGCGAATATCATTGCTGCTGCTGCACGATGCTATTGGTTTCTTTAGCCCATAGCATGACAGGAAGTGGGGCAATCTGGTGTGTGCTGGTTGTTGGATTGGGCCTTCTATTCACTGTGGAAGACTTAAAAGGATTGATCTTCCAGCAACGTAAATCAAGAGTAACGCCACTAAAGTCAATGGGATTCCACTGCCATAACACTGGTGTAGAATCAAAGTCAGGGCTAGAATGCGTGCAGTGGGAATATGTAGATCATGCATTTAGGGGGCTCCAGCTGACGAGCATGGCAACTTGTGAGTATTATGGGGGAAAGGAAGGGAAAGCTGAGCAGTTCTTAACTACAAAACTGTTGTCAAGAGAATGCTCTTGACACATTGGTACCCTATTAACATTGCTACTAAAGCTTCACATTGCATTGATTAGAATATTAAAACTATTACCATTTAAACTTTCTGCTTCAGACATTTCTCTTTCAAGCATTGAAAAGTTAAAGAAATTGGTTAAGCTTATGGGAGCCCAGGCGAAAGGCATCCGGTATTTCCCCAAACGCTGACAGAAGGACTCAGCTTGGGCTTTCAGTTTCTCAACCTTTTCTTTGCTCTAAAATAAAGAAAGGAAAATACAACATATTAAAAGGCCTAAATTTGACTATGACTATGTGAAGGCAATTTTCACTGTGTATGCTCAGCCTCCTTCAATTCTGCTTATACAGGACCCAATGCAATGACTACTGAAGTCAAGGGGAGTCCATATCATTGTACG